TATCTCAATAAAATGAAAAAATGTACCTCGTATTCGCAATAGTGTGGTTGATTTTTTTGTAGTTGAAATTTGTTTAGTTGTTTTCAAAGTTTTTTTTCCACGTTTTCTAAGTAATTTCTAATTTCATTTTAAATAACCTAATTTTCTTACTTCTTAATGACATTTGCTTACTACTATCCTCCCAGCACTGACTACTACTTTTGCTTAGTACATCATTTGCTTGAACCCTCCCCGCCCTGAGTCCCGACCTTAACCATAGTTTTTCCTCCTGGCAACGCATATGCTCAATATGAGAGGGGAGGCGGAAGGAGAGGGGCAATATGTCTATGTGTGGGATGGGGGATTTGTGGGAAATTGTAACTCCTCGCACTCCCCGTTCCCACACATATAGACACACTGAAGCCACCTCCCAAATTTGTCCCTTCTCTCTCTCTCTCTCTCTCTCTTTCTTTCTCTCTCTCTCTCTCTCTCTCTCTCTCTCTCTGGTAGCAACCAACCCGTAGCTACCCTCACTTCTACGAAAAGTTTAGCGGGGCGATAATTTATGGGCAACTGAAACTTGAAAAAAAATTTATAAAAATTTTAACTGACGTTCATAAACTAACTGAGAAGATTTTAGAAATGTGTTATACTTTTACGCAAATTTCAAGATTAGTTCCCAATTGAAATCATTATTGATTAACAGGGGATTTAAACGGACTACTAATGTTTATACAGCAATTTAATGGGGTTGATGTCTCGAGTTTTATTAGTTATAACAGTTTTTTCCAAAAATAATGGACTCAAATGGAAAATTTCAGGAAACGGTTTTCTTCATGATCAACTTTTAAACAGTACAAGAATGTTCGCATAACAGGGCAAAACCCTGAATGTTCCGGCTGCCCTTTAGTTTATATCGGATAGTTTTTGGGATAACATAGCTTTGAAAACCTATAATTTTTGGACAATATCAATGTTTAAAATTTTCAGTCGTACGAAATAAATACGACCAATTAGCTAGCATCAAATCAATTCGGAACAATTTTGTTGTACGGGATAATTCGCCACACACCGTTTTCTTCGAAAGTCGGAAAAAAAATAAATGAAAAAAGAGTCGTAGATGAGCTAAATTTAGAAAAGAAATTTAAAAATATTCAGCGAAACCCACTAGCCTTGAGTAAGGGAAGCTTTGCGTGAAAAAAAACAGCAGCAACAATTGTTGTGTCTTAGCTGCTCATGTTCAACCGTAAAAAACTGCTTTTGAGAGAATCTAACAATTGCGGCAGATGAGATTAAATTAGAGATTTTCAGTTAAAACAACTGCTTTTATTCAAAACGTGGTGCAAAAACAGACCAGTTCTTACTGTATCTTACTTTGCAAAATGTTTGACGTCCAGACTTTTGAAAGCGACCACTCATTGCTTATGAATATTTCGACCTGCCCAGAGGTTTTGAAAAACTTGCATTGACTTGATGCATTTCTAGGCCCAACAATTGTTAAACGGACAGAGCACTGTTTTGTGCTACACAGCCAGTAGATTCTAGTAACAAGTTTTTTTATCTCTAGATTGGCCTGCTTGGTGATGAAATCTGTGCCAGGTGTTGATCGCGGAATCCGACCCCAGATGACTGCCAATTTTTAGTCACCGATTCTAAAACAGCAATTTTTCTTAAGTGGCAATTTCAATCACACAAAATATCATAAAATCATTTTGGTATATACGAAACAAAATTGAGCCAGTGTTCGAAATTGCTCGAAATTGTTTTAACTTTGATTTCAGTGTGAAGAAATTCATAAAAAAATCAGATGGATTCCCCACTGGAATAGAAACACTCAATTTTTGTCCAACAATATGAGATAAGGTCAAAAGCGAAATAACTTTCAACTATGATCGAGTTTAGTGTAGGCTTGCATTTGACTATTTTCACTCAATAGAAAGGTTTTTCATTCTAGTTAAGAAATAATTTTTTTTTCAAAAATTTACATTGTTACGATAACTGAACTGAGTTTTCCAATTGAAGAATGGAAGCAGCCAGATTCACTAAGGTGTTAAATTTACAACTAGACTAAATAGAACGCCTAAAAATGATTTGGTAAAAGTTGAGTGTAAATTAGTTTTAAGATGAAAAATGAAAAAATCCACCAGTTCTTACAAATAGGTAACATTACCGATGATCAATCTTGGTTCTTGCATTTTTACTTAAATGATACACGAAAAAGGCCAATTGAACATACCCAAATCAAATGAGCATTTTCGGTTGCTCTGTAACACTCGAAAGGCAATTGGACTTTCATTACTGGCTGTAATCTCTTCGCAAACTCCCGTAAGCCATTGGACTGAGATTGGACGGAGCCAAAAGAATTATACAGAGGCGAAGTTGCACTTCTCATACACAAGCAAATATTTGACCGATAATACTACTGGGACAAAATGAATGAGTAAAACTTTGAGTCTACTAGAAAAATTTCTTAAGTGACGCATGCAAATTATGACGCATTAGCAATACCAGTCAATTTCATAAAAAAAAATAAATTTATCAACTATTATGCCTCAATTTAAAGAGCAGTCTATGGAGCAGTAATAAAAAGAAAAAAAAACGAATGGAAAAAAAAACAAATTTTTTAAATTGAGGTTTTTTGTAAAGATCATCAATCCACTCGCCATATTATGTACAAAGAGATAATTTTTGCTCCTATTAACAAATCAATTATGGCAATTAAGCGTCTTTCAGCCAATATGAAACGATTTCTATTACGGATTAAACCTCCGCTTACACGTTAATAGCGCGAAATACATCGCGCGCTAATTTTCACAATAATTAAAAAAAATTATCAAAGTCGAATTATCTTTCCAAATTAAAGCTTAGGACAACAATACATTTTGAATGATATAAAAAAAATCTCGTCAAAAATGGCTTGTTGAAAAGTCGAAATTTGTCTGAAGAAAAAAACCACCGCGAGCGCAAAAATTCCGCTACTTTCGTTACAAAAGTCGAAACTATAATAGTCTGTTAAAATCCCTAGCCTTAGCTGTACTTATTATCTTAAATGAAGTTATTCTATCGCAAAAATATTTGCGTCGCAACAATATTTAGGACTTGGGTGGGAAAAAGATAATTCATACTTTAACACAAGCATTGCTTGTGTAAATATCTCACCAACTCTAGGCAAGGGTCTCCAATTGACTTGTTCCCATAGCAGTAACATAAATCGCTGTTGACTGACTTGGCATTATTTTATTTCATGATGGCAGTTGGAGCCGGCAGCATTCTCTCTAGTTTCTCCCTCGACTGTCAATCAACACGCATCTGAGCAGTTTTTTGTCAATAAAGAATTTGCTAATCCGATCGAAAAATACATCAAATGATATTGCCCTGTAGGCAAAAAAAATGCGCAGGGAGGAAAAATCAGGTTAGAGGTGATGCAACGTTTGTCAAAGCTAAAAAATGAACAGATCATTTATCAAATCTCAGCGCACACGTGTTTTTTATTTCCAAAAATTTAACACAAAAATATTGATTCGTTTTTTACCAATATTATCAGGTTCTTTCAAAATAGTTTTCATGTTATTCATAATCAGTCAAAATGTGCCGATATTTCTCTTTATTCTAACAAAAAATTTCCCTGAATACTAAATTGAGACTTACAGGGTTCGTATGAAACTTAGGAAGAGAAAAATTATCGTGAAAGTAAAAAAGATGCCGAACGAAAGCTGTCAGCCAATCGCATACCAAATATCTGATATTGAAAGTTCAAATAAAGGTATAAAAATTTGCCAAATTGGGTTGCAATTCTATAAAACTTCTTTTGGAAAAACAGTATACTTAACTTTTTTGCAAGAAAAACAAGGGGTTCATAAATGAATAGTTTGTTGAAAAATATTTAACACTACACTTATAGTAGATTAACAAGACTCCTTAGTACAAAATGGCCCAGCTTTGTAATCATGCCACAATACTGGTCTAAATTTGATTATAAGAGCTATATTTGATCAAAGGATTTACGCGTCAAGGATTGTAGTTCAAATTATTCTATGAGAAGTTATTACTGTTAATTTGCTGATCTTATTTGTGGCCTTTTTTGAAATACTCCAGTGTTAGTAGTTTCTAAGCACAGATTTAGGCTCACTCAGCTGTAACTAACAATCAGCAGTTGTTAGGTCGACCATACAATACCCCGCGTAAGCGCTGCTTCGAAGACCATCTGATTTTCGGTTTAAAAAAATACATGAAATGTCTGAGTTTTTTTACGAAGCAGCTGATGATCAAATGTGTCAAACGTTTCCTGGTTTGCAATGACAAATCTCGACCATATATCTTTTTTGATATAAAAACTTCATTTTTCCTGTAGTTTCAGTCCTTGGAGTAGTAATGATTGAAGGGTTTAATTCTACAATTTTGTTTGATCTAGAATGGTTCGACTGAACAATGTAAATCTTTTATTTTCTAAAAAACCTTCCTTTTTACTGTCTATCAAGTCTAAGTGAAAGTACTTTCTAGTTTTTGTTGGATGCAATTTTGCTCCCTATATATCAAACCCACCGACCGGCAATATCAGAAGAAAGAATTATCTTTGAAAATTTCTTAACATCTTCTTTGCGATATGGAACTTTCAGTATTCAAAACCAACTTGCTGCCAAATTTTAAAACTTTGACACAGGAGAAGTTTAGTTTCGCAAACCATAGCGAGAACGCAACAAAAACAGCTCTATTAAACGCAATATTAATTAAAAAAATAATTACGCCTCAAATTAGAAAACAATATGTCTACCTCTCGGATTTGATTTTCCACCTACAACGACCAAGAGAATATGAGCAAGCACTATTCACAAAAGAAGCATGAAGTTGATATCATGAAGTTCTATAAATTGGGGCACAAAATTTAAAGAACCACATGCAATTTGCTACATGTGGTTCGCTGAGATGAGCTGTACAGCTCGTATGTAGGTCGTTTCTCTCGTCGACAAATGATCTAATAAGTTTTTGACGTCCACTTATCCTCTGACAATTACACAAAAATATACTCCAAACGATAAGTGAATTACATATTGAAATTACATACAAAATTTGCATAACATCGAACATACTTCAAGTTTCCAATTTAACACATTACAACAAACAACAGCGATGATTCTATTCAACGTATACTTTCTTGTAGGCTTAATTAGGTTTCGGCTACGTTGCTTTTCAGGCACTTCTAACTTGATATCATCTTAATGACGGCTATCGTTTTTTAAACTGTTGTCAGTTTTGCTGTTGTTTTGATTGCTTTTCGTCTTATTGATCAATCGGCTGTCATTTGCATCTGGTGTGTTTTGTCCACGAGTGCATCCATATTAGGGGGTACTTTCCATCTCAGAATGGATCCATCGGCACCCACTGAGACAATGTACTTTAGATCGGGGGAAAATTTAATGGCCATTATGTCAGTTGAATGCCCCTTTCCACAGTGGGTCACGATGGCTTCGTTGTAGAGCCATAGCTGAAATAAATTAGAGATAGTGTTCAAATCAAATATTATGTTTAATTTTGGAAATCTTGAAAGCCAACAGTAAGCCTAAGACAGTGGTTCCTAACAATAAAACGGCTTAACTCAGAAACAAACATCAGTTAAATGAATTTATTTAGTTAACAAATGATTAGAAACTAATAATATAATATTTCATCATCTCAATATACTGATATGTAGTAATAAAAATTTGACTGATATTAAATTTAATTATTATATTATTATACTTATAATAAAATAAACCGATTTTTGGTAGTTTTAAATAAGATAAGTAAATAATTAATTTATGAACCTTGACTAGTTTGTCTCCCCCACAAGTGACGAATATGTAGTTCTCGTGGGATCCGAATGAGAAGGGACCCACATCCATGCCATTGATGTTGCCGGCAGCCGCGGCCTCAACCTCCCGGATGGGGTGGTTGTCGCCACTCGTGGTCACTTCCCAGTAGCCGATCTAGAAAAGGGGGTCATACTTTCTCCATAAATTAGTCCAAACTGGAAAGTATTTTTTAAAGTTTTTTTTCGATTAGCTAAAGTTGAGCCAAAGTTGATTCTATTAAGTTGAGAATCGTTTTTTATTTCGGAGAAAAACATCCAGTAGCCGATCTAGAAAAGGGGGTCATATTTTCTCCATAAATTAGTCCAAACTGGAAAGTATTTTTTAAAGTTTTTTTTCGATTAGCTAAAGTTGAGCCAAAGTTGATTCTATTAAGTTGAGAATCGTTTTTTATTTCGGAGAAAAACATCCAGTAGACGATCTGGAAAAGAGGCGCATACTTTCTCGATAATTAGTCCAAACTGGAAAGTATTTTTTAAAGTTTTTTTTCGATTAGCTAAAGTTGAGCTAAAATTGATTCTATTAAGTTGAGAATCGTTTTTTATTTCGGAGAAAAACATCCAGTAGCCGATCTAGAAAAGGGGGTCATACTTTCTCCATAATTAGTCCTAACTGGAAAGTATTTTTTAAAGTTTTTTTTTCGATTAGCTAAAGTTGAGCTAAAGTTGATTCTATTAAGTTGAGAATCGTTTTTTTATTTCGGAGAAAAACATCCAGTAGCCGATCTAGAAAAGGGGGTCATACTTTCTCGATAATTAGTCCAAACTGGAAAGTATTTTTTAAAGTTTTTTTCGATTAGCTAAAGTTGAGCTACAGTTGATTCTATTAAGTTGAGAATCGTTTTTTATTTCGGAGAAAAACATCCAGTAGCCGATCTAGAAAAGGGGGTCATACTTTCTCCATAAATTAGTCCTAACTGGAAAGTATTTTTTAAAGTTTTTTTTCGATTAGCTAAAGTTGAGCCAAAGTTGATTCTGCTAAGTTGAGAATCGTTTTTTATTTCGAAGAAAAACATCCAGTAGCCGATCTAGAAAAGGGGGTCATACTTTCTCGATAATTAGTCCAAACTGGAAAGTATTTTTTAAAGTTTTTTTCGATTAGCTAAAGTTGAGCTAAAGTTGATTCTATTAAGTTGAGAATCGTTTTTTTATTTCGAAGAAAAACATCCAGTAGCCGATCTGGAAAAGAGGCGCATACTTTCTCGATAATTAGTCCAAACTGGAAAGTATTTTTTAAAGTTTTTTTCGATTAGCTAAAGTTGAGCTAAAGTTGATTCTATTAAGTTGAGAATCGTTTTTTTATTTCGAAGAAAAACATCCAGTAGCCGATCTGGAAAAGAGGCGCATACTTTCTCGATAATTAGTCCAAACTGGAAAGTATTTTTTAAAGTTTTTTTTCGATTAGCTTAAGTTGAGCTAAAGTTGATTCTACTAAGTTGAGAATCGTCTTTTATTTCGAAGAAAAACATCGAGTAGACGATCTGGAAAATTGTTATTATTTACAAAAAATCACAACTCTCGATCTGAAAGCGAATGGAAAAGAAAATGATTAGAAAACCAAATATGTATTGGTATTCATTTAAGGTGAAGACACTTGATGATGATGATGACAGCTATTTGACAAATTTGTCGAAACGTAAACGCCAGTTGCCAAAATTCGGTCAATAAATTAAGAGAACTTTTATCAAGGGCTGGATAACCTAGGCCATTTGTAAAGAGAGAACTATAACATTGACGATGTGAATAGTTGAAATTCTGAAACATAGCAGTAACTTCTCACGACTTCCGGGTTCTTTTTTTGAAAACTGGAAAAACTAACCTAAAAAACGGCGACAAAACCAAGTTCGACAAATCAATTTTGTAAGAGCTTGATAGATGCAACAGTTATGAATGAAAGTCGAGCAATTTTCATTCAAATCACATAAATTTCGGTTGGGTATATACGTTGTGCGTTTTAGGCTGGATTACACTTCGGCTGGTTTGTTCACACTCGGTTACCTTTCTGTCGCTGCCACTGGTGATGACCTGGAACTCCCTTGGGTGGTAGCAGACACACTCGAACAGCGAAGACGCCTGCAGCATCACTGACCGCGTGAACGTCCTAAACAACAACAACAGTTGCACAGTCGAAGAACGATTTAAAACTCAAGGTCAATAGTAGGCAAGGGACAGCGAAAAACAAGTAATTAAATAACTTCTCTTCAAGAAATTGTCGACTAAAAATTTTTTTTTGCAATTTTTATTTTAAAAATGAACATTTACCTAAGATATAAGAACGATTCAGGCTCCACAAACTACATTCACTTCTTTTTCATAACTAACAGATTAAAATGAAATTTTGGTCAAAAAATCATGATTCAAGAAACATTAGCTTAAAATTTTGGGAGCAAACAAACAGCACAAACAGCATCATCATTAGAAATACACGAAGTTATCATAAGCACTATCAAAGGTTTGCTATAAACTAAAACCAAAATGAAATACAAAAAATTGAAAAATGAGAATATAAAAATGGATACACAAATTACACAGAAGCGAAGAGGAGCATCGCACCACTTGCGATATAACACAGACATAGCAATGCAATCTAGCAGAAAGAAAATGAAACAAAAGCCACAAAATCGGAAAAAATTGCTGGAATGATCTTTATTTTGACGAAAACATATCCACAAACACATTAACTGGCGTATGAAAAATACTCAGACACAATAATTGAGCGGTAGCTAAGCCGATAAAATTTGGTTAGAACTCCGTGAGCAAAATTGTTTTCAATCGAAAACTTTTGAAAAAATTTTTATGCTCCCCTCCGGAAACACACAAAAGCATAAAATCTATTTTTCATTTAAATCGCCGCTATTAGGTCTTTTCCTCGATAAAGCATAAGCCAAAACAATTAAGGCCAAGCAAAAATTTTAAGCAAAAAAAAATTACAAAGTTAACAACGTTACAAATTACAGTAACAAATTGTAACTCTTTCATTAACATAAAAATTTATACAAAATTCCGAAAAAAAAACAATTACGCGACCAAGCACTAGCAGACACACAACATGTCGACAATTATTGAAACGGAAAATTTCTTTTTTATTTAAAGAACAACAAGTTCTAGCCAGAGTCGAACATAGGACCTTTACCACCTCAGGCATAGTATTTTCTCAAAAACCATGTGTGCCAGAAACCTACGATAGTTTGAATTTAATTTAAGCCAAGCTTTCATATGATTAAATATTTTGAAAAAAAATCCGCAATGCGCAACTAAGCCGATAAAACACAATCAGACAAACGAAAGGCCGAAAATGTTTTTGAAAATGTCGAACGATGCCGTCCCAGGCCGAGTTGTTACCTCTGTAACAGGTTTGCCGCAGAATCAAAGAAAGCAATTCTTTATCATTCTCAGGAGTACTGATATAACTTCTTAAAAGTACTGTCAGTAGTAGCGGTAGACCGGTAGTTTAAATTAAATTTTGAAGAATTTGAGCATGAAAGCACGTAAATGAAGTCTACTGAATCAATGAGTTTGTTAAAAAATTTTGTTAACCCAAAAAAGTCTTTATTCCGATTTTCTAACGCTTGCTAAATGGCAAGCGTAATTATTTATGAAAAATTTTAACAAAATTTCAAATTCAGTATGAAAAAAGTTTGTAATTTGGTATACTCACTCTAGATTCCACACAATACAAGATCCATCAGTTGAGGCTGATATGCACTCTCTGTCGTCCATCTTCAGCTTAATGGCGGTGATCTTCCCTCGGTGTTCCTTCAGCGCCTGCTCGAACACCTGCACAACACGTGAACACAAATTAGTGAACACGTTTAGTGAATATTTCGGCTAATTTAAAAGTCGGAACTTCAATAAAAATATTTAAAAATTGTGTTTATGTCCTTTTTCAAAACGTGCGAACTTTCAAACCATAAAGTATTTTTTTCTTGCTATATTTTACCAAATAAAGCATTTGAACTTTATACAAAATTTCACTAATATGATTATCTAATCTAACTTCTTAAATTACAATTTCAAACCAAAGGGTTACATCTAAAAAACGGTGCTTGAGGGAAATACTTCAAGGAAAAAATACTGAAATTGATGATACACGTTTGGTACTACTAGACAATGCGCTAAAATGATGATTAAATGTGCGACCACGACAGTTGGATCTTTTCGAAGATAAACCACTTGAAACAATGAAAAAGAAAATTGCAAAATGTGCATCACCATATTGTACTGATATTATTAACGATATAATACCCAAATTGTATCGATATAAATTTAGGCAACAAAGTATATCTGTTTAGAGGAGTATATGCGAAAAGACCCTGATTGATTTTTAATTCCTTCGATGATTAATAGCTTACCGGAAATTGCTGATCGAAACGTACAATACAATACATGGGTTTAAAAAGAACATGAGTAAGGGCAGTAAAACTCGAGGAACCTAGCCAACAGACAAATATAAAAGCGCAACTGAGCTCCAGAAAACCAAAAACTGATTATTCGAATTATCATCAAAAAAATATATATATATATGGCCCCAAAACTTTTAGAATTTCAAAAAACATCTACGATTGAAGCTTTATATTTGAATTTGTATTTTTATTATTATTGAAGAAGAGCATATAATTTGCCAACCATTTGAGGGAGGAACTTGATGTGAAATCGAAAATAAATCAAACGTTACACTCTTTTTCATTTTCATCGCTCCCTTTCTTTTTATTTCTTTCTCCACTCCTCCCAACCCCCCCCCCCCCCATAACTCACTAAACCATCAGTTTTTTTGTTCTAATGAGGAGTTTTATAAGGCTGGATATGAATGACAAAATATTTTCAACAAAATAGAAAGAGCTCAGCCAAAAAATAAATTTGAACGTGAACCATTTTTCGAAATTTTTACTGAAAAAAAACGACCTACATATAATATTATCTTTCACTGTCCATTTGATTGTCTATCTTAATCGATTTATAAAAACCTTATGGGTATAGATTTGTTTGAACGCCCCCCCCCCCCCTCGAGGATTCGAACCCCTCACCAACCAAGGGGTCTCCCTTGGGTATAAAGTAATGATAGCCATTTTTGGCTGACCAACCTTAAAATTTTTTAAGGCGCCAATATATATTAATTTTGAAGTGCGCGCGCCAAAAAAGCCAATTTTTTGTTCAAAATTTTCCAAAAAATGCCCATAAACGGCAATTTTGACCCGTTTTTTTTAATTTACCTCTAGCGCAAATTTTTTTTTTCAAAATCGGCTTTTCATAGAGTTTTTGGAGCGCTCGAAAAAAAAACAATTTAGTCGCGGCGCTTAATAAAAAAAATTTAAAAAAAGATCGACAAAGTTTTCAAAACTGTCCCCCTTGAGAAAATCCTGGATTCACCCCAGCTGATAATGTCTGACTTAATCAAGTATTATAATCTTAGCAAACAAAAAATAGTTCGTTACTTGCAGGCTCAAATAAATAGAAATTATCAATTTATACAAGAAACAAATTCAAATCAAAATCAAATACAGCGATCAAAACTGTTAAGTCGTCAATGACATTCAAAGTGTTTTACCTGTTTGGAAGCATTGGCGATGTTCCACACTTTGACTGTTCCTTCCCCTCCCCCGGAGATGACTCGTCTGCCGTCATTGGTGACTGCTACTGCAGTCACTTCGTGTATATGAGCACTCGCGATCTCCCAGCACATCTTGCCCGACTGGGGGGCAAACGCCTTGATAGTCTTGTCACTCCAACCTGGAAGAGTAATACTGTCTCGATAAACCCATCAGAATCTAGAAAACCCCAAACTAAATTTTTTTCTTAGTAAAATCAAACAAGCTAATTACAAACCCATTAGAAGCCTAAGAAAAAACTTCGAATGGCTCCTCCGGGATTCGAATCCCCCTCTACCCCTAATGAGTGACTGGCTAACCAGAAATAATGAGGTCTCCTGTGTTCTATCGATTTGTCGGCGCGATTTCGAAAATTACTATTAGAACAAAAAGATAAAACAATCACGCCTCTCGACCGGGATTCGAACCCTTGAACTCCTGGTTGTGGCCTACCAGAGATGATGAGATCTCCAGGCTCCTTGATGCAGATTCCGTTGCACCACATGTTGGCCACTTTGATCCTCAGCAACTCCCTGTTAGTCTCAGTACTCCACACTCGGATGTCTTCTTTCGAACACGTCACGAACAGGGCACTGCTCTGGCTGCAAACAGGAAGCAAATTAAAAACAAACGCAGAAAACAAATGAGCTATAAATAAAGAAGCGAACATCAAGCACGTAAGTTTTACGTCTAGTTTGTTTCTAAGAGCCCCGCATTGTGAAAAAAAAATGTTAATTATGATTTCACCTAAAATGTTAGCAGCAATAATACTGTAATTAAATTTATTTGAAAGCAAAAACAAAAAAAAACAGATTTTGATTATCTGAAAAACCATAATTCGAAGTTCATCAAGGACTGTGGTGAAAAGTATCCCTATAATAATTGTTTCCAAGTTTAATATTGTTCTGGTTTTTATCTGAAAATTTTGTTACAATTTCTAATGTCATTTTGAAATAATTCTGGCTATCAGATTACTCATTTTCTTAGCAATTATCATGAGAAAAATATTGACAAAAAAAAAGAAAAAATGATCCAGCTAATATATATCACAACTTACTACCAAACGAATTATAAACACAGAAAATGAAACAGTTTAACCATTACTAAACAATCAGTACATCTACCTGGGGAAGCAGACGTCTCTGACTTCGTCCGTGTGTGAAGTGACTATGGCCTCAAAAGAGAGGTCAGGGTAGACGAACTTGTACACATTGCATGCACTAGTGCCCACAAAGAACTGGTGTCCCTTTTTCCTCAGACACAGTGACGTCACGCCCCCGTCCACCTTCACTGACCTAGGTCAAATTACAACAGATAACCAATTATCAAATTATAATACAAGAACTGCCATCGACGAAATACAGAACTTAATAAGCTTTTACAACTATCTGATATCATTGAAAAACCTAGTTATTTTCATTTGTTTTAATCCACTCTTGAAAAATAAGTTTAGGATTACGCTTGCTAATCGCAAAACGTAACGATAGGGAGTGTTTGCCTTGAGCATAGCTGTTTGATAATCAGGACAGTTTGTTTTTGGCCAGCTCAGATCAACAGGGTTACTTACCGAAACACTGTTTTAATGGTCGCAAATACAACTTTCTAATTTCGGATGCTAAGAAAATCTGCTCTTCTCCAGTTTCACAACTATTTCTGGAAATCGATTCCCGAAAGCCTGTTTCAAATCACATTTGATATTCGAAACAGATAAAACGTGTAGGCTTGAACATGTGAACAGATTTTTTCATTTTTTTTTTCATGAAAATTGCCCTATGAACAATGTCTACACAAAATTTTTCATAATTGTATTCTTTACGAGGAGGCAGTAGACTGAGAAATAGCCGGAAAAAAAGAAAAACTCACTTCACTTTTCCCATAATGTCCCCCTTGGCGCCTGGTTTCATCTCGGCCACAGTCCCGTCGCCTGCTCCCACTAACAGGTGTCCATTGGCCAGCAGGGCCAGACTACTCACTCCCAGAGAGAACAGATTCTTCTGGGGGAACCGACCTGGGTTCTTCTTGTCACCTGGTAAAAGAGTTTTATACAAAAAAAAAACACTTATCGGTACTACAGGTACTAGGACCAGCAGTGATTGACTCGCACCTTGACTAGCACCTACAGTGCTTCAAACATATTTTGAACGTGAAAAAAAGCTTTCTAGACTATATACAAAAAAAAGATATTTAAGGCAACCGTAAAAATAGACAGCGACCATCCAAGCCGATTTTCTAGTTCAAACAGAAATGGTCATACTTCCAAAACTACTAAACTTTCGATTTTTGCACTTTTAACTCAAAAACATTCTCATGCGCGAAGGACCGAAAACGCGCAAACAATTTCTACTGGTCAGCTTCCTCTAAGTAGCGCCGAATTCATTTATGTTCCAGCTTACTTCTTAGCGCTTTTAGCACAAAGGCGAATTTGCGCATCACAAACACAAGCAAAGAAGTAACTGTTAAAAACAAGCACAAAAAAATGAAACAGAGGCCAGTAGCACTTCGCATACACAAGCAAAAATATCACCGATAACGCTGCTGGGAAAAACTGAATGAAAAAACTTTGATTCTACATAATTTCTCAAGTGACACAAGCCAATTATGACGCATTAGCAGTACCCGTCAGTTTCAAAAAAGAAAATTATCAAGTAGCATGCATCAATTTATAGAGCGGACGCAATTTAACTAGTATACGAAAAAGTTCATTAAAAACATCCGACCCTGTCCAGGTTCGAACCCTCTGATTCTGTTGCGCGTCTAGTTCTCTACCGCTACGCTAAAGATCAATGATACCATGAAGCTTAAGTGCTATTTGTAATATAACAGTCTACGTCAATGTCGCTGTAATTGAGAGCTGATCATTGATCTTATGCACATACTGCAATAAAAGAACACTTTCAAAATGAACACTATTATTTGCGACTGAGGTTTAAAAAAAGAGAGTTCAAACTATTACACAAGCTTTGCTTGCGTAAAAAAACATAAAAACTAGGAAAAAAACTCTGCTAGGTTCTGGAATCAAACCCCCGAGTTCGAGATTACAAATCACCCATCCTTAGCGTCTTTGCGATAGTCACTTGACAATTTTCAAACATTAGCCATCAAAAAACCAAATACAAAAGTATAACTAATATTTAATGCAGGAAAAGTAAACCAGACTAGGGGTCCAGTCATATCTGGAGGTATCATGATATTAAATCAACTGATGCGAAAAAAAAGCGTAACTTTCGAAGGTTTGGCAGGGTAGTTCTATAGTATTTCAAAAATTCCCGAAAACTGGTCAAAACTTCAATATGAGACTATTTATGTTTTTTTTCCACAAAAATAAGGGCACAGCCAGTTTCATTCATGCGGAGAGAATTCCTAACACCAGTTTTCTTGATCTCAGATTTTTCGCAGGTAGTTTTCGCGAAAAAGAATGTTTTCGAAGAAACCATCAACAATTCAAAATTTGGGCATTTTCAAAGGCCATAACTATTTTCGACAAAAACAAGGGCGTAGCAGCGTTGGTAGGGAGATCCAAATAATAATTTTTAAATTGAAGTCTTAATCTGACATATGATAGGGTAATTTTTGAGAAACTGAAAAACAAATCAAAAAGTGGGTCAAAATTCTCCCCATTGAAAGTTTCGAGAGCCTTCGGGTACGGTGAAAAGAAACTAGCGGAATATACGGCACACAGGGGAGTAGCCGGTTTTCCAGCCATTTCGTGAAAATAATGGTGCCACCAAAAAAAGCACCAATATTTGCGACTTAGGTTGAAAAAAGTGGACTTCGTATTCAGACATTACGCTACCTTTGTGAAAACACTGAATTCTGATTAGCTGACATAAATTTCGCGCACGAGGGATTTTCTTATGAATTATTGCGATTACCTTGCAGATTCACCATCAGCACATCTCCACTGAGAGTTCCAGCGAAGAAGTGTTTGTCTTCCGACTCCACCTGCAAAGAAATAAAAACTTCAACTTCTCATTTGTTTCTAAGACTTTTTTCTTTTTCAAATGCGAATTTGTAATAATGAAATGTTAATCACTTTGTTCAATTGTTTCAAAAGTTAAACACGCTGAAAATTTAATGCGTTACAAACACATGTTGCCTTCATGTTTAACCCTTTAAGACCCTCGTTGCAGCATAAAATTGATGCTCATGTGAGGATGGGAGAGGTTGTTTCTTGTTCGTTTCTAAATTGAGAAGTTCAATTGAGCTTAGAATGGATATAATTTCAAGGACAATTAAGAATTACCAAAACCATTAGAAATCACCAATTTAGCGCAAATTTTTGTCGTTTTCACGGATTCACGCTCAAAAATCTAATTCGAGCGCTTGTAACAAACAACTTCAACTTTACTTTATTTGAGCTAATTTTATTTTAAAAAATTTCAAAAATACACAAAAGAATAATCAACAAATATTTCCACCAATTTTGATTTATTTATCACAGAAAGAATGCAGTGTTAATAAAACTATTGTCATTAATTGCATGGTAGTTTGAGGTGGTCAAACCTACTGCACCGAAAATTGACCTAATTCTAAGGAGCTAAAAACTTTTTAAACGTTTTTATAAGGAATAAAAACTTTTAAACCTGTAGATTTTTCTCAATAACTTGACTTTTTGATTATTTCATCTTTCAATGTCTGTGAACAATCTTTTTTCTACTTATCACATTTTTTGGACACTAATGACAATAATTTCAAGTATAACTTAATATGCATTAACAGAAGGGCTATCTATTCTCATGCGGAAAGAACTGAATACGCGAAATTCTCAACCAATCAATGCCCTTTAAACGGTCCAAAAATGACCAATTTTATCGCTTACTTTCTTTGCATCAAACTTATGAATAATAATTTCTGATAGGCTGACAAAATTTTTCGCGATCGGTCCTACGCTCGGGAGAATTCCCCCACCCCCATTAACAGGGATGCTTAGGAGATGATAATGAACTTAGGGTGACCTCTATGCAGAGGTACTGTCGTTTGATCTTCTGGGTGTCGATGTCCTCTGGTTTGATCTTCCGATTCTTCCTGTCCAGGGTCCACACACGTAGATTGCAATCGCCACCTTCACAACAGAGCAAGAAGAATGATAATTTATTATAACCTGCTCACTTGGTATAAAACATAGCTTACACAAAATCAGCATTCGCAAGGGTGATTGACGAGCTTTTCGGATTTTTTATTCATATATTAGTTTTTGGTTCTATTAATATATGGCTCAATTATAATTCAACTATCTCATTGAACGAAAAACAAAATAACTGCTCAAGAGTTGAAACAAATCCAACGTGAACTTAAACAGTATTCAAAGTAAATTTAACCCCGACAGAACAGTAAAAAAGGACATGGCGGGTTCTGAAAACGTTGCCCGATATTAAAATGTTAATACATTTTCAATATATACAAAGTTTTGTAAAAAAAAAACCTTAAGAATCGAGAACTTTAAATCATTATGTCAGTGATCATAACAGCACATACCTGTGATGAAAGTGTCGTCTGAGTGGTTGCTGTACTTGAGACAGGTGACCAGTCCGGCACTGGACAGGGCAGCTGCTGCTCCACAGATGGCCTCATGCGTTTCCAGGTCCCACACCACAACACTGAAATAAGTATAATAAAGCAATTTTGGAGAAAAAAATATACTTTAATCTCTTTTAAAGTTTTTCTCAAGAGGCGATCAAAAGTTAGGAAGAAAAACATTTGGACCACTCAATAACGCATATTTTGCAACAAATACGTATAATTTGTTGCAAAAAATCAGTTTTCAGTCACTTATCTAAAACATGAGATCTAAAAAGGTCTCCTCTTATACACCGTCAAACTCTTAATAAAATGTGATACGTCAGTTTTGACATAAATAGTGGCCTAGCTTAAGCTGGAGGCACTTGTTTGAACTTTATAAGAATATGTGATATTCAAGCAGATTTTAAAGCGTAGTTTTCAAATTTTCGAAATAAATGTGAAAATCTAGCGGTTATTTTGATTGAACCCTTAATCTCAGAAATGGTAGCGTCATTTTTGAGAAACGTGAAAAAATTTTCCAAGCCTCTCAAAAAAACCAATCCCATACAGGCCAAAATTGTTTCGAAAAATAAGATGCCAATCATGCAGAGCTCGAGACAACAGAATTCACGTTCTACAAAAAAAAATCAGACAGATCACCTGCAAAAAATTTAAGCTGACGCATTTTTACGACGACTCCTAGAGTCTGAATGGAATTGAACAACTTAGAAATGATTAGCACACTTTCAGGCAACCTATATTACACCTTGGCGTTTTGGCTTAAACATCTACAAAAAAAAAGACTAAAAAAGATTTTGTGGATCTAAAAAGAAGCGCCTATTCACAATTATTTTAAGAGCAGGTAATTAACAATCAATCCAAAATCAAACTTTGAAAAACAAGTTGTTTTTTTTTCTAACGGATCCCATTTGCATGAACTAATGAAAACCGTGTCTAAAGTTCTCAGATGTGAAAGCTTTATTAAACATTTCAGCCATCATTTCGGATGATGGAGTGAACAAAATTTCAGTCGCACAGTACAGCAAGAAGAATATCAACATGTTTACACAAAAACCTCAAATAAGTCAATAGTTGTGTTAGGCTAAGAAAGTTGTGAAACATTATCCTATCAACTTAATTTTCTCGTAAATACAAAAAATTATTCCCCTCAGCAAAAGAATAGATACAATCATAATTTTTAGGCTGCAACATCCTGGACAACGAATAGCTTCTAAGAAAAATTTTCTATCAATTAAGTAAGATCTAAGACGTTTTCCCAGTCTTTTTTATTTAGTGAAGTTTCCTTTTCTCATTTTTGGTAAAATCTAGTTAAATATGGACTCTAAGTAGTCAAATAGCCTAAGTTCAAACATTGAGAATTTCTCTCTCACCAGGTATGAAAAACATATTAAATGAATTTTCGCTCAGACATTTCTGAACGGACCTATAGGTCCAATGGTGCTCTCCTAGGCAGTAAAAATGTTGGCGTGGTTTGTAAATTTATTTAATTAACTACCCACAATGGAACTGCCCGAAAATTTTTTATTGTATTATTATTATTGCAGTATACGAGCATAAAAACAGTTGTAACCAGGGGCGGATTTAGGGGGGGGGGGGGGGGGGGGGTGGCGGACGCCCCTTCTCAGGGATTCGACACCCTGCCGATCCAAATTCGACACCCTTTGGTACTTATTAAGAAATCCACTTTTGGCCAATGGACCCTAAAATTTTTCTAAAGGCGCCTTGGGCGCCAATATTTACTAATTTTGAGGGGGGAGAGCGTGCCGAAAAAACGCAATTTTTTGGTCAAAATTTTCCAAAAAGTGCCTAAAAACGCCTTTTTTGACTGTTTTTTAAAAAATTTGCCTGCGGCGCAGAAAATTTTACCAAAATAGGGGCAAAACAGTGCTTTGGGAGAACTCAAAAAATCAATTTGGTCGACCTAAAAAAAAAAGTTCGTCAAAATTTTCGATTTCTTTTTTAAAATCCGCCCCCCCCCCCCCCCTCGAGAAAATCCTAGATCCGCCCCTGGTTCTAATTAACTCAATAAGTCCACGTTTCATCTCAGGCGGAAAATTGTGTATCAGTTAATGTTGCTTAATTTTGTACGTTTATAATGAAACTTGACGGTTGAATAACCACTTTAAATCAAATACATTCGCGCTTCATTCTCAACCTCGTAAAACGACTGATTGCAGCATAAAAATGGGGCTTGTAAGCTGGGGGAAAATATGGATTCTTAGTCCTTGTTTTCAAGATAGCACAAGCACTACGCACCTTCTGTCATCCTGTGAGCCAAGAGAGACTAGGTACTTCTCGTTGGGGGAGAAGGCGACTTGTTCGACCTTGACCTTGTGGAGGGAGAAGCGTTTGATCACACTCCTTGTCGCGAAATCCCACAGAATCACGTCCGCCTAAACGAGAAAACAAAACTATATAAAAAGTAGTTCTTTTTCTTGCGAGGAAATTACTCTACAATGTTTCGGAAGAATTCAATCTTTAAGAAATCATCCAATTTATCCATGAGGTGAAGGACCAGCACAAAGCTGTTCAGCTATTAATAAGTAACCGCTGTTGTGACCCTGGTTAAGTTTTTGGTAATTTTTCTGTGCTGGGTAAATTTGCCGCACCCTCAATTATCCAGCCGAAACTAGGGTTCAAACTAGCGGCCTTACCATTAATGAGCAGAAATTTAACAACTTCACCACCGCTCTACTTTTAAATAATTGTTCACCTGTTCACACTGACATGTTTAAAATTAATTCATAACGACAAAAATTTTTCTGAATTGAATTATGTAAATAGTTGTTGATTGTGGGAACCGAGAAATAGCCCTGAACTTGAACACAGCATTTTGACTGAAATGTTTAAATTTGATTCACAACAGCAAAAATCATTTTGAATTGCATTTCCAAATCACTAGTTTCCGAAAAATTAACGGGAAAATGAATAAAAAAGTGTCCTGACCTTGAATCCCATGAAGGTGACTTGACCAGAGGCCACATATCTGCCAGAAGGAGACACAGCCAGACATGAGACTGAGTTGTTGTGACCATTCAGGAATGTCTGCTTGTGGTTGCCCAGATTCTCCACCACTATTGTGCTTCCCAGTGCATACAGGATGTGGTTCCAGTCCGGGTGGCAACGGAGGGTGTTGCTGGCATGGCCTGGATTCGAACTTCGTTTTTAATTGGTGGAGCACACCAAATTAAACAAAAATAGATATTCATTTTACTATAATAGAAATCTTAGCTTTTTACAGTTACAAATCAACCCCTTACCGCCCCTCCCTCCGCAACGCCTCAGCATGGGCACAAAAAATAACACCCATCACAGCATCACCGTAGAATATTTGTATAATGGAGGGAGTTATAATGAGAAAGTCGAAATCTCGGCAATTTCTTAACATCACCCCCAACAAATCAGAGCCACCCCCACCAAATCAGAGCACCCCCCCCCCCCCCCCCAAAAAAAAAATACACAGAGGCAAAGATATACTTCGAGAATATGGAAAAAATGATGAAGAGCTGTGAAAAAATTTTTCATCTGCCTAAATCGAACCTCCGACCAGAAGGTTATGAGTCTAACCTCCACCCGTCTCCTGACAAGTCATTTTAAAAGACCGATGTTAATTAAAACTAGCCACAAATGAAGCAGAGAACAGATGAAATGAAATTTCCAACGCTACAGGTCGTGATTAATGCAAATGCCACTAAATAAGTGGACACTTTTGTTTGCGATATGGGTAAGAAAAAAGAAGGTTAGTTTTAATACACTGAGCGGCTGGGTAGTGTAAATAGAAAGAATCAGTTTGCAAAAAATTGAAAATTTTTCTAAGCAAGCTATTTCAGCTATAAAACTGGGAAATACTTCATAGCGTTGAAATACTTCATAAATTATTTCATAGCGCAAATCGTTTTGCTAAAAGTTGATTTTTCTAGGCATGGAGATTGCTGTTTTCAGTTGATTCGTTTCAGACTGAAATGAATAAGTAATCCTAAAATGTTGGACAACAATTGGGCAGGTACTGCCTAGCCTTGAAATTGAACCAACTTCATCTGGTTTAAAGAGTTTCGGAAGTTTTTCCAAAAAGACCATTAGATTATTTCAGTTAAGAATGATTGAAAAATCTAGAAAGATTTTGCCTGAACGTTTTTTTAAACAATGAGGTCGATGGCTGCTCTGAATGATATTTGAACGTTCTGATCTAAGACTGCATAAACGTTGTGCTCGATACAAAAGTTTGAACGCTGCGGATTTTGAATTTTAAAGAACAAATCGGTTTGCGAAAAGTTAAGACTTTCTCAGCAAGCTATCTGACTTTGAAATGTTTCAAGATATTTCATGAAGCGAATCGAATAGCAAAACGTTGAAGTTTTTCTATTGTAGCCCTCAAAGCAACAAAATTTGGAAATATTTTAGGCTATTTCAATTTGAATCGGTTTGCTTCATTCTTTAAAAGTGAGTTTCCTATAGAGAAGGGCATTGTCTCAAATTTCAGCAAAACTTTTAATTTTCTTTTGAATATTAAAAAAATATGGTATTGTATATAGTAAATATATATCTTTAAATTTTCATGGGTTTTATAAGATTCAATTTGATAAAAGTTAGTCGCTAATTGATTTGGTAGTTTCAGCGTAAATTTTGATAGAATAAAAAAGCCAAAAGTTTGCTATTTTTTTGGGCTTAACTTTTGGGCCTGAATTTCAAAAATGTGCATATAATAATTCTGCTTAAGTTCTTAGCAAAAATAACTGTATCATTTTTTGTCTTAGATCAACCCGTAATAAAAAAAACGCGTTTTAAAAACCAAGTGTTACGTGTTCTGTCCGGATAATTTAAGTCAGCATTCTGTTCCAGCTATGACACTATGAAACGTTCATTGGTAGAATGAATCGGATCGTGAAAAGATAAAGGTTTTCCAAACAAAGTTATTTTAACTATGAAATATTCCATGTTTTTCCACAGACCAAATCGGTTTGCAAAATGTTTTCCTAAGCAAGTTATCCAAGCTATTAAGTCGCTTGACAAAAAAATTGAAGTTTTTAATGCAAGCTTTTCAAGCTTTGAGACTAGACTATGACACTAAGCTATTAGACAAAAAAACTTTATACCATAAGACTAGGCAAAAATTTATTCAGGCAAGCTATTCAAGCTATAAGTATTTTACATATTTTAAAATTTTTATAGCCTGAAATGGTTCGCGAAAATTTTTAAACTTTCTAAGCAAGCAACTTAAACTAGGAAACTTCAGAGTATTTCGAGCTATTCCATAATTTAGATCGGTTTGCCAAACTTTTAATTTTGTTCTAAACAAGCTAATCCAGCTATAAGACTTTGAACTGTTTCAAGTTATTTGATTGCTCGAATCGTTTTGCTAAAAGTTAGTTTTTTAGGTATTGAGGTTTCTCTTTAAATGAACCTGTAGTGGCAAACATTGGACAGAAAGTGGGCAACTAATGTCTACCCTTGAAAATGAATCGAATTCATCTTATTTAGGGAGTTTCGGATTGTTTCCAAAAAGACTTCTAGAATACTCCAGACTTTAGAGTGATTGAAAGTTCTTGCCTAAACGCTTTTTAAACATTGAGCTTCAAAATCTTCTAAGACATTTTGCTCGATAGAAAATTTAAAGCGCTGCGTCGATAGCGCATTAAGGCTTTTATTTAAAATACAAAATTAACTAGTTACCATGAAAACCGTATTTAAAATCAATTGAGCAATGTAAATACAATTTTCCTATGGCAAAATAAAAAATAATTGAAAAATTGCATTTTTTTCAAATTACGAGCAAATTTTTCTCCAGTTTTTTAGTAATTCGTGAAGGTGGGACAACAAATTAAGCAATTGGAGAGGCATAAGTTGAAACAAGATTTTTCAATCAAGTTTCGAAACTAAAAGTGCATCACGTTGTTGTGCATGTTGAAGTTGTCGAGCGTAATTTGCGTTGTTTTAGCAAATGAAACTGAACTGAACTTGCAAAGTAATCAAACGCTAAATCGGGGATATTTTTTTGAGTGTGATTGAATTGTATAACTCTTTCCACATTTTCATTGACCCTTGAGTTATGCAAACATTTTGGCTTATTCACAATGACATTTTAGTTTTAAAATTTTGAAAAGAATTCACGCAATATTATATCAGCAAAGATCGTGGGGGATGGAAAATTACTCAAAAGGGCTTTTGATTGAGGAAAGCCGATCTAAACAGTTCATATTTTTTGTTTTCTTTTATTTGAACCAAAGCTAACAAGCTGATCACTAATGTCTTCGTTTTTTTTTCAGATTTTTGCTGAAATTCGCGTTCCAAACGCTTATTTAAAACATTTTTTGTTCTAAATTGCCATAAATCGTGTCAGTGTAATTGAGTAAACAAAATTCTACATCATTTTTATCCTTCAAATTACCGTATAAACAAATTTTAAACAACAGCATATTTAACTTAAAAAGGGTGGGAAACTGGAAAATATCCGCTTTGATCTTACGGGAATAATGATCCATTTTAAACTCACCTTCGAATCCGATGGTCGCCAGGAGCTCCAAATCATACAGTTCATTAGCCATGTTTTAACTTACGCAATAAACAGACAATAATACCAAGCACGTTTTAAACCAAATGTGTACACGGTAAGAAATCTAATATGAATTAAAAAGAGTAAGTATTATTTTCAGCTGCGGTCTGATTATGGTTATGGAGCACGTGCGATATTTTTCGAACTTCATGTTTTAAATGCTTTGGCGACTCGAGTTAAAATGAAGAAATTAGATATACCTCTCAACAACAGAACATATACGGCGATTTTTTTAGTACGCTTTTTTCCGCAACTATCCACCTGTGAAATTTTCCTAATTACCACATTTACTAATTGGGCTCTTTTCCAGTCCCCCCTTCAAATTCAATTTTGAAAAGCTTATTTAACGTTGTCATAATGCAATGAAACTTGGTGTGGTGAGCAAATCGACAACTGCGAACAGATTTGTTCTTCATACTTTACAGCGTAACATAGGGCATTGAGCCGTAATAACACGTAAAACAATTATGAAACTCGGTATTTTGAAAGGGGGACTGGAAAAGAGCCACTAATTGTTCCGACCATAGAAAATGGGGAGGAATTTTGAATTCGGGTGTGTTTTAGTTTTTTCTTTTCCACGCAAAATCAGGCACCACAAATAATCATCGGAATGGGTCGAGTGAACGGCTCTTTTTCCTTTCCCCCAACCTCACATGAGCATCAATTTTATGGTCTTACGAGTTATTTTGCATGGTTAATTATGAAGACCAATGTGTTTATCAATTTTCATGACAATCGGACAATGCGAACAGTAATTTTTATTATTAAAAATTGCAGGTGGTGGGGGGGGGGTGGAAGAAAAAAGAGCCGAGTGAACATATAGAAGCCCTTTAGGTCGTGACGCGAACGCCAGGCTCCCTCTCCCCCACTGCCAATTATATACGTAAAGTAGTTCTTTAGATAGATTGTCCGATTAATACGCAAATTGGCATGAGGCATTTAATGGTGCCATGACAGACATATATAGTCTTCATATTCAATCTTGTAAATCCACTAAAAACCACTAGACTATTTTCCACTCCCCTCCCCTCTCCCCACATTTCAAATTTTCAATTTTTTCAAAAGAGCCGGTCTTACGTGTTATTATGGCTGTGTGTGTAATATTACGAAGTAAGGTATGAACATACAAAAATCATTATGATTACGTAAGATCAATGTTTGGAAACTGAAATTCAAATGTGGCGGATTCAAATTCGAAAGTGGAAAAGAGCCAACCACTAGTTACACCTAAAAATGAAGCGGGCTCTTTTCCAGTTTCCCCCCTTTCAAATTTAATTTTGAAAAGCTTGTTTAACGTTGTCATAATGCAATAAAATTTGGCGTGGTGGACAAATCGACAACTGTGAACAGATTTGTTCTTCATACTTTACAGCGTAACATCACGCATTTAGCCGTAATAACACGTAAATCAAACATAAAACTCGGTATTTTGAAAAAGGGGGGACTGGAAAAGAGCCATGAAGCGCATGCGCAGTGAGAGGTGGGAGGGGTTGGGGGATCAAGAGCCGAACAAAAAAAATTTGAAAAAAAAAACTCTTTTCCACTCAAACCACATTTCAAATTTACCATTTTCTCTTAGTTGTCTTACGCGTTCTTAAGGTTGAATGCTTGATGCTACGATATCAGGTATGGCTTTTTTCCAGTTTCCCCCTTTCAAAATACCGAGTTTTATGTTTGTTTTACGTGTTATTACGGCTAAATGCGTGATGTTACGTTGTAAAGTATTAAGAACAAATCTGTTCAGAATTATCGATTTGTTCACCACGCCAAATTTCATTGCATTATGAAAACGTTAAATAGATTTTACAAAACTGATTTTGAAAGGGTGGGGGGAAACTGGAAAAGAGCCTAAGGTACGAAGAACAAATGTGTTCGCAATAGTTAGTTTACAGACCATGCAAAATTTCAATTTATCAGAACGAGAAGTAGTTTTTTTTCAAAATTGGGCTAATTTCCTCCTACTTAAGCGACCGAGCAGGTTTACATTAGCTTATTTATGCTTAATTTATGCCGTAAAAATTGAGTTTTACTCTAGTAAAGAGAGTTCTAACGCCATTTTGGTAATCCAAAACTTCAAATAAAATTGCAAAAAAAAAATTGAAAAACTGACTTTTTTTTTCAGTCATTTTCTACAAAAAAGCGCTGTTCAAATAGCTTATTTTATTGTGAATGTCAAAAAATTCAAAAATTCTAGCAAAAAAAATTGAACGAAGAGGCAAAGTTGCACTTCGCATACACAAGCAAAAGTATGACCGATAACGCTACTGGGAAGAACTAAATGAGTAAAACTTTGAGTCTACAAAATTTCTTAAGTGACGCACGCCAATTATGAGTCTACATAATTGCTAAGTGACGCAAACCAATAATGACGCATTAACAGTACCAGTCAATTTGAAAAAAAAAGAAATATACCAACTACCATGCCTCAATTTAAAGAGCCGACACATTTTAACTAGTATACGAAAAAGTTCATTTATAACATCCGACCCTGCCCAGGTTCGAATCCTATTATTTATTGCGGGTAACCTTCCCTACCTTTACGCTACAGATCCATGATGCCTTGAAGCTAAAGTGCTATTTGAATTATAATAGTCTGTGTTACTATCCTTAGCATTGGCTGAACTAATAGCTGGTTATTGGTCAAAATGAACACTTTAAAAATGAACACATTTTGTCGAAACAATATTTGCGTCGCAACAATCTTTTCAAATTAGGTTGGAAAAAAAAGAGTTCATACTATAACACAAGCTTTGCTTGTGTAAAAAAGAACTTTGTTTTCGAGCGAGTTTTAGTTCTCTTTACTTGGCTCTTTTCTAATTTTTTCCCACATTTGATTTCTAGTTTAGAAAAAGCATTTCAACGTCGTCATAAAGTGATGAAATTTTGCATGGTGAACAAACTAATTAGTGTGAACTGATTTGTTCTTCATAACTGACATCGTAACATCACGCGTTTAGCTATAATAACACGTAAGACAACTAAGAAAAATGAAATTTGGAAATGTGGGGGACGGGTGTGGAAAAAACCCTTTATTGTTTTCGACGCAAAATCAGGTACCACAAAAATTTATCGGAATGCCTTTTAGTCGAGATTAAACGAGAAAAAAAATGATTTAAAAACTTCTACCGGCGACACAATTTGAAAAAAAAACTTTATATTTGCAGTTGGGGGGAAAAGAAAAACGAGCCCAGTTTCATTGCCGTATAACAATGCTTCACTAGTGTTTTCAACTTGAAACTGAAATGTCGGGGCGAGTCGAAAAGACCGCTATGGTAAAAAGTATAATTCGCAGTACGATATAACTATATTTAAAAGATTTTCAAAGAGTTCCTAGTGGTGTTAACTTTCCTGGATCCTAGTTAGTCTGATCGATCTGAAAAAAAACAGCCGGAAATTTTTTGGGAAAAAAGGAAAATAAGTCGACAAAATTCAGGCCGACCGCCAGTAAGCTGAAGCTCGAAACGGCAATGTCCGATTTGATAAACCTAGCTAATCGCGTAGAAATATGTAAGAAATTCACTGATCACTACCAGTCATACGCATCAGTTTGCAGTGTACCAGTTGTGTTACTAGGTCCATCTGCCCCGACTGCATAGATGAAAGGCTCATTTTCTGGTCTTTTCAGCATCAATTATATGGTGCAATGGATGGTTTTTACCGGGTTGAGCAATTTCAATAAACCAAGTCCTTCCTATTTAACCCAGCTGTCACCCCTCCAGTAAAGTAACAAAAAGTTGAAGCAACCCCACTCTAATATTATTATTATGGCAGGCTATTTTTTTGCTAGGTGGGAGGGCAATAATGGGAAAGAATCAATAAAATTACAAGACCACATTTGCACTCACAAACGCATCAATTGAATTAAAACTTTACTTCCATTGAAAATCAATTTTTAGTCCAATTTATTTTAAGAAAAATTTGTATGCCATGAGCGAGCAGCTGTTATTTTTGATGCAACAAAAATAATTGACTGCGTTCGTTTTCTCGTTGCACCAAATATGTTTGAAAAATCTTGTTTTACAGGCGTTATTTAGTCAACCAGAAATCAAAAGCAACGTGTAATTTTTGGCTTAAACCATCAATAACTTCAGAAAGAGTTTGGATTTATGGACTCAAAGTTTATCTTGAAAAAATAATTAGGCTATCTCAAGAAACCTTAATTTGACGATTTATTAGAGAACAATTCAGCTACAAAAAACAATCAAGAAACCTTAATTTGACTATTTATAAGATAACAATTCAGTTACAAAAAACAATCTCAAGAAAACTTAATTTGAAGATTTTTCAGATAACAATTCAGTTTCAAAAAACAATCAGCAATCATAAACCAGAGGCTTTTACTATATACTTCCATACTTGTTAGTGTTTAGAGTAGAGATGAACTTTTTGTATTCATCTTCTTTCCCACGCGAAAACGTAAAACCAATGGCCCATCATCTAATACTTTATTACGTATTTTTTATATATTTATATACTGTCAATGAACACAAAGAAACATAAATTAAATATCTGGCTTGTTTGAAAAACTTCAAATTTCAAATTTTAGGGGGAAATGTCCTCAGAGTTCTTCGAAGATCGAAAATACTTTTTTTGAAAAAATAAACTCAATTTGAAAACTGGATCATAAGATAAATTTATTAATCCGCTGTAAAATCTAAATAATAAAATCAACTTTCCAAAGGTCTCGTTTTCTATGATATTTGCAGTTCGATAGTAGAGTTTGCCTTCCTTGATTGAAGCAATGAATTGAATTGGAACCGAAATCAATTTTCAAACCACGAAAAATCTAAAATGACTGTAACAAAATTTGAGTTTTACTTCAAAAAATTATAACAACCTAAAAAGGTCTTCACTACGTTCATTGACACTCACAAATGCATCAATTGAATTAATACTTCCATTAAAAATTACCTTTTTAGTCCAATTTATTGCAAGAAAAATTAGTATGCCATGAGCGAGCTGTTACTTTTGATGCAAAAACAAAATTATTTGCGTTCGTTGAGAGCAACATCTACTTTTTCAAGCTTCATTTCGTGAATCGAAGTTTCAAAAAAAATAACATATCAGTACAAGGATAGCCGGTTACTGTTCAAGTAGCACAGAATGTTCCGACCATAGACTTTAAA